GAAAGACTGTCTCTATATAAACTTGTTTCCTCGCCTATTTGTGGCAGTGGGATGATGTTGTGAGTAGAAAGAGAGTTTCTAAACATAAAGTCAACTCTGTAATGACAAGCATCTGCCCTGCTAAGTGCTCCTGAGCAGGTTGATGAATCCCTCCCACTGTTTTTTTAACCTCGGCGAGAAGAGAAATTCTCCTCTGGGGATTAATGAAGCACTAAATAATCGTTTTATTCATTCTGGTTAGACTGAGTAAATAATCCCTGGATCTTTGCCCTGCTGATCGATTATTTTGGACATCAAAAATGTAAATTAAGGCCAGACATATATTCTAGTTTAAAGCAACAGTTCACTCCAAAATCAAAAACATTATTTTTCAGTCTAGACTGTCGCAGAGTGTTGGAGATATCAGCCGTAGAGATGTCTGTCTTCTCTCAAATACGATGGAACTAGATGTCTCTCAGCTTGTGGTGCTCAAAGCGCCAAAAAATACATTTGAAAAACCCAACATCAATGTCTCTTTCCAGAAATCATGACCTGGCTAATCAAGATAATCCATACACCTTCTTGTGAGCAGTTTGATATAGGAACTATTTTCTTTCTACCGAACTACACTCGCAAACCGTATCACTGCGCAGAAGGAACAGTGCATCTACTCATGGACGAGAGGCTCATGATAGCGCAAGATGTAAACATTAATGGCGTCCTCCTCAGCTGAGCTGTAACATTAGCTAGCTCAGTGGTGCTAGGTGAGCTAGCAGTAGATCATTGCTTCTGTGTGGATGGTGATATGGTTGGCGGGTGTAGCTCAGTAGAAGAAAAATAGTTCCTACTCACCTGGGCGACCTGGGGGGAGACCATGGGGTGGCCACAATGTTACTAAATGGTAAATGTACCTTTACTTGTACACTACACGTCACAATCATCCATTCACACACTGGTGGCCGAGGCTACCATACATGGTGCCACCTGGTACTCAGTAACCATTCGCACACCCACACACTGATGGAGCAGCCATTGGAAGCAATTTGGGGTACTTCGACATGCAGACTGGTGGAGCTGGGGATCAAACCGCCAATCTTCCGAATTACGAATATTGGGCTGCACTGCTAGCTACCTTCCGATCCTTGTGATGCACAGTGCAGAGCAACCAAGGCTAACGTTTGGTTACCAGCGAAGACCAGAGGGTAGGAAATGGGGACAACCATTGCATATGTTATCGGGGTTAGCCACCTGTCTGTCAGCAAAACCAATAAAAAATAAAATAAAAGTCAAGACATGCTACAAGATAGACTAAATGTGGTGCTAAAGCTCACTGAGTCAATGGAGCACCAGAGTAAGAGAAGGGGCCTCTTGTAATTCACTTCATTTTGCATTTTTTCTTAAAATATAACCCGTTAGTCACTAGTTAAGGAGTGTCAGACCATCAAAAGCAAAGTTAACCGAAACTGGCATCCCTTGTAGAAAGAAACTAGTTCTGACATGAATCTGCTCACAACGAGGTCTGTGGATTATCTTGAGTAACCGTGTCATGAATTGTGGAAAGAGACATTGCTGTTGAGTTTTTCATATGTATTTTTGGGCATTTTGACCACCACAAGCTGAGTGACATTTGGTTCCATTATATTGGAGAAAAAGCTCCGCAACTCACAGCAAAATAATCTAGACTGGTGCATAGATCTACAGGTAAAAGAAAAAAATGGGATTTTTGATTTGAGGGTGAACTGTCCCTTTATTGCTAATCATCAGCCAAACATGGACGGTGACAGCCAGAAAGCAAACAGCAGAGAGCAGAGGAAAGAGACAGAGAAAAATGAGAAGGGATAGAGAGATTGAGAGAGAGACAGGGAGTGAGGAGGGTGTGACCTTAATCCCAGAGTGGGAAGAAAGACACTTACACTCACTGAAACATGCACACACACACACACACACACACACACACACACACACACGCACACACATCTGGTCCATCCAGTTTCTACTTTGTACCTCAGATGAAAAGTATGTGGGAGGTTAAACTTCTGCAACTACTCTATACCCTCAAGAGGTGAGTCAGCACTGGAGTTGGTTGATAAGTAACACAGTGGGCTGTCATTCATAAGATGAAGGGTGTGGTTGTTTGGTTTTGTTTATGCTGAATCTCATTCATGAGTCATCACCTCTTCAACAGTCTCTCTGTAGTTGCAGCAGTGTGTGAGGGAAGGCACAGCCATTTCCATTCTGTACTCCTATCACTCACGTAACATCTGTAAATTTGCACAGGCAAATATTTTAATGACAGCGACATACCTGATAGAAAGGGCCAAACTCACCACACACACACACACACACACACACACACACACTGCGGAGTCACACAGAATACTGCATGGCGCCACTGTGCCTTACCTGGTGTGCAAGCCAGTACATGTTTCTCCACCCCGCCAAGAACACCAGGTAGGCTACTGTTCCCAGATGAAGGCAGTTACGCTGCTGTGGAGGCTACACAGATTCTGTTACTGACACCCCAGCTCTGTCCAAAAAGCCTGCAGCCAAGGCTTTGCTTTCCGTTTCATCAGATAACATTGAACAGCAAACCAGGTTGCTGGTAGAGTTAAATGTGTCTCCATCCCATTCATTCACATTACCCTAAACATTTGAATCCCAAAGCATTTCCCTGATAAAAAACACAAATGGGTGTTAATCACTCAGTGCAAGGCAAGGGAATATTCAAATATATTCAGAGTGCCTGGCTATGCTATGACAGGCATCCATTCACCATGGCCTGAAATAATCATTAGCAAATCTAATCTTTTTTGGGTCATTTGTGTCTTTATGTGGTTGTTTTGTGTGCTTTGTCGTCATTTTGTCTCTTCCAGGTTATTTTGTGTCATTTTTTTGCCTCTTTGTGCAATTATTTTGTGTCTCTTTCAGTCACTTTGTGTCTCTTTCATTCATTTTGAGTCTCCTCCTGGTCCGTACATATGAATTTTAGTGACATTTTGCAGGTGAAGGCTAGAGGGGCCCCTGAGCCTTGGCCCGGTTGGCCCATTCCGCAATCCATCATTGTGACTGAGTGCCATTTTAAGCAGTCAGTCAGTTATTACAAATAGTTCTAATAATGTGGTGTACAGTAGTTCTGTGTGTGGTTTGTGCACAGTATAGTATGTCATAAAAAAGTCATAGTATGGGGCATCGGTGGCTTAGTGGGTAGAGCAGGCGCCCCATTTACAAGGTTGTTGCCGCAGCAGCCCTGGTTCGACTCCAGCCTGTGGAACCTCTGCTGCAAGTCATTCCCCCTCTCTCTCCCCTCTTCATGCTTAAGCTGTTCTGTCAATTAAAAAAATATCTAAAAAAAAAAGTCACAGTGTGTGCACTTTTCCTGTGTGGCCCTCAATCATACGCTGACTGCCTAAAATGGCACTCAGTCACATGGATGGATTACTGAATGCCCCTACCTGGCCAAGGCTCAGGGGCCCCTCTGGCCTTCACCTGCAAAATGTCACTAATATTCATACGTACTGACCAGTAGGAGATTCAAAATGACCCCAGAGATACAAAATAACTGCACAAAGAGGTAAAAATGACACAAAATTACCTGGAAGAGACATAATGACTCTTAAAATTAACCTCAAAGAGAAATAAAACAACCAAGAAATACAGAAAATGATCAAGAGAGGACACAAAATGAATAAATAGAGATGCAAACAACAAAAAACTTGGCAAAGCAACAACAATGTTTGTGTGTCTTGCCCCTATGAAGACGAGCTGGTGGGGCCTTTTGCATTTCTTTGAACTGGTGTCCAAAGAGTCAAGGGGCCCCCCTAGGCCAACATGTAGTGCCGAATTTAAGTTAACTGTCACGGAAAAGAGCTCATAGAGACAGAAAGGAACCACAAAGAGACACAAAAAGAGGCAAAACAACCAGGAGGAGACAAGAATCAACCAAAAAAGAAACAAAATTAACTTAAAGAGACACAAAATGACCCAAGTGACTACATAGAGGTGCAAACAACACAATGTGATGCAAAGCCAGCACAAATGTAGAAGAGCTGGTGGGGCCTTTTGCATATGTGCCCTGGGTCCCATTGTCTCATAATACACCCACACTCAGTCATCAAAACTTGAGAACTCCTGATCTTAGATTTTTATTTCAAAATGCTCCAAGATGACTAGATGTCCAGGACTCCCCTCTCGGGTTGGGTTGCACAAGGCTTAGATTAGAAATGGTCCCAAATAGACAAGTATGGCCCTGCTCCAATGCACATGTAGTACTGCTGTTTAGACTTATAAATTAGTGTAAATAGTTCCAGTTGACCAACTTCACTGGCTGGAAAGTTGCACTTTGCAGCTGAGGTGCACTGCCCTCATGTGGTCACAGCACTGTGAGTAACTACACAGACTCTTCTTCTCTCTGTGTGTGAGACAGATACAGACAGGGAGAGAGATGGAAGTGTGGGCTCCAGCCGGCCTATATCTGTCTCCCGACTCCCACATGAAGCGCAGACAACAAGAAAGGAAGGTGTCTTGTCTGGGGCGCAATGGTGACCCAAATCCTAGCTACACCACACCCCCCGGAGCATCTCATTACGTCAGACTCCATAATGACCCACGAGAGCAGAGCGTTATGATTTCCATACGTGATGTAAAATGGCCTGGCCTTTAACTTTAAATGTGCCAGCACGCGTGAACGTGCCAAGGGGATGTCGGCACTTCCTCTGGATTTCGAAATGCCTCATTTTATTCTATCAGTGGGAGCCAGCTTCTCATCGCGTCTGCGTCCATTTCGTGTTCCATGCGGGGGGGTTCGCGCTTAAACGCATTTGTATATTGAGCTGTGAATGCGGTTTTTTTACTGTGATCGCTAGTGTAGTGTTTTTATCATTTATATAACGTGACACGAATATGTTTGTGCTAGTAGAGGTATTTCTTTGGACTATTTTGAGATACATTTCAACAGACCTCCCCTACAACACATGGTACGCCCCACTCCCTGCCGTTAGCCGTTGTTGTATCCTATGCTACCGAACAGATACGTTACGCTACTAACTAGCTACACACTAGCATTAAAGCCACGAAAAGATGCGCCTTCACGGGATTAAAACAATAAAACAAACAACAAGAAGTCTGGAAAAACTTTACCCAACTGTGCCCAAACTTTGATAGACCACCACCCCAAATCACTTGCCTTCAGTTTCGAGTGTGTTAGCATTGTTTTATCTCACCACTATTGCCGTTGGACGCGTTTTTTTTCTTCTGGAGCAGTCCAGTCTGATGAATTCACCGAAAAAAGACGGAGATGATGATGTGCCCGTTAAAGACCCGGTAAAATACGGCGAGTTGGTCATTTTGGGGTAAGTCTCTTACAACCTAAACCGATAGTAACAGATGTGTAGGGACGGAGAAACGCTCCAGCGGCAAATTAACGTTTAATATGTAGCGGCACCATCAGCACAATAAACCAACAGATGACGTGTGAGTTGGGGTTTAATCCACCAATATCCTCTTTATGGTGGTTTTTCTGGTAGTAAATCCACTATAGTGGCACATTTTAGCTCCTTTATTAGACAATGCTGTCGTTTACAAGCAGCTCATGGCTGTGTAGTGATGTTACAAACTAACTTTATGTCACAAATGAAGGCTTATTCTCTGAAACTATGCCGCCGCGGTGTTTCCACATCATGTATGGTGCGTTTGAGTGCTAAAAAGGTGCAAAATGTGCTGTGAGCCATAGCACATAAGGGTACTACGGATGTAGCCGCTTTTTCATCAATGGTTGTATAGTGGGGGTAAAGCGGCGCTGGATTGCTCAGGCTGAAAATCCCAATGATGTCATACTATGCTGGATGTGGGTTTGCTAAAAGTAGGACTGAGGGTGATATCATTGTCTGAAAGATGCATGAATCTTGCAGATATTATTTAGTTCAAAGTCTCTGTTATTACTAATTAATAAACGTCGCAGCAGCCAGATGACCACCCATGCCAAGGAGGAAGGAAGGAAGGAAGGAAGGAGGAGGAGAAAAGCCCTTCTACATCACCAGCACACACAAGCACACAGTAGGCAGGATGTGCTGATGACAGCCACCAGCTTCCACAGCATTTCCACCCCTACAGCTCCACACTGTGCAGAGTCTGCAGGGACCAGAAATGCCACAACACACACATATACACAGTCATATCCAGGCGTACACAGGCCTCCCTCTTGCCCTGCAGAGCTTCCTGTGTATGCCAAAGATAACTGACCTAATGGCCTATCTCTTCCCCTCCGGCTGAACATGGAGTGAGGAGGCTGTAGCCCGCCGGCATCAGAATACTGATTAGTCGTCCTCCTCGTCATCTGACTGTTTGAACAGAGCGGTCCTTTTACATCCTCAGACCGGGACGAGGAATTGATTGTTTAATGCCTATTTCGACGTTCGAGGCATGCAACTTAAACACGAGCGAGCTCTGCGGCGTGTGCCACGGCACTTAATGTGCCTCGTTGAGGGTTGAGAATGCATTTGTGTTAGCTCACTTTAAAAGTGCAGTGATTGAGGTTTGGTTTGATGTTCCAGAGTGATGGCCACAGGCTTTCAGGCTATTCTAGGTATCATCTCTGAGGTTTTGAACAACGGCTGAGTGTTATCGGAAAACTAGATATCGGCTGTCTTCTGATATTGCTGTTTTATGATATGTAACATGGTGGTCCAGACTCATGTTCCCAAACATACAGCAGGTAACTTTGACAGCAGATACCTGGCGTCAGAACAGACTGTTCTTGCTACAGCTTCCTGTCAGATACCATGTTTTTCTGGCCTGTTTTGTGCAAGTGTGGTTTGACTTTGCATCTGTCAGCCTTGATGATCACATGCCCCGTGTGGTCGATGCCTGCTTCACTGCAGGCCTTGTGATCTTTGCAGTGGCTGCCTGCCATCGCGTGTTACCTTAGTTAGCCTGGACACTGTGTACAGCGCTGCCCCGGCAAAGCTCAACTCACTCATAACCCGCTCCCATCACCCTCCTGTCCTCTGCATTTATCTCACCCCTAACCCCTCTCAACACTGTCGCATTCCTCCATCTCCTGCCCAGTCCTTTCCCTGCCAGCCTTCTAGTGTTTTGCTGAGTGCTGACTTTCACAGAGGCAGGCCTCCTTGGTGGCTTGCCCTCAACGAAAATAAACTCTGTGTCGAGGGGAAGAAGGAGTGAATATTTCATATTGTGCTTTATGGTGTGCGCACATGCGTGTTGCAGGCCAGAACTGCCCAGGCAAATTTTACCATGAGGAGCTGCTCTTTCGCTGGCCTTTACCCTCGACCCTCTGCCTAACCTCGTCTCCCAGCCACTTGTCACCCTGCACCCTGCCCTTTGCTTCAGTTCATTTATGTAGCTTCTTCGTCACCACTACTCACGATGGCTTCTGACTTCTTTTCTGTCTCTGTTTCTGTCAAGGCACTGGCTGCCTTTTCTCTTTCCATAAGCTGATTTTCTCTCCCGTGCCCTCTTATCCTCAGTCCCATTTCATATCTTCTGCCTTTTAACCAGACCCCTCTGAAGCCCGTCCTCGTGCGTCTTCATTTCCTGACCCAGACCTTCCCTTGTCAGCCGGGGTCCAGTTTAAAGGGATAGTGCACCCAAAACTGAAAATTCAGCCATTATCTACTCACCCATATGCCGAGGAAGGCTCAGGTGAAGTTTTAGAGTCCTCACATCACTTGCAGAGATCCAAGGGGAGAGGAGGTAGCAACACAATTCCACCTAATGGAGGCTGACGGCGCCCCAGATTCAAACGTCCAAAAACACATAATTGAAACCACAAAATATCTCCATACTGCTCGTCCGTAGGGATCCAAGTGTCCTGAAGCCCCAACATAAAAAGTTGTTTGGAAAAACCTCATTTGAACTCTGTTTTTAGCCTCATTATTTTGTGGTTTCAATTATGTGTTTTTGGATGTTTGAATCTGGGGCGCCGTCAGCCTCCATTAGGTGGAGTTGTGTTGCTACCTCCTCTCCCCTTGGATCTCTGCAAGTGATGTGAGGACTCTGAAACTTCACCTGAGCCTCCCTCGGCATATGGGTGAGTAGATAATGGCTGAATTTTCATTTTTGGGTGCACTATCTCTTTAAACTGACAGGCAGGGCTGCAGAGGGAGCAGGTAGCACTGAGTCATCTTCTGTGATTACAAGTAAATGTGGCCTGTCTGAAGGTTTTTCCAGGTAACATACCCGACCCTCTCTTCAGCATCCCGCTGACTGCCTGCGCTGATCTGGCCTTAAGGTTGTTATCCACAGAAAATGAATTTTGGCCCTGAGATTCCTGAAAGTACAGCTCATTAAAGATACATAATGTCAACAAACTCCCGTCAGACACACAACCAAATTTAACCACTAAAAACCGACATAGAAATTTCCCCAACAAAATGAACTGCAAACCCTGATGTGAATATATATCAACATAATACATGAAAGGGTTTTCATTTTGCTTTTGCCACAATTCTCATGTCTGAGACTGACTGGGTGTCTGTCTTAATTCCCTGCCATCTGTTCAGTTCGTGTCTGATCTTCTGGTTAGATTTGTGAACATGCTATTTTTTTCAAAATTTTGTCTCAGGAAAAAATCCAATCTAAAAATAGAAAACAAGTGGCATGTTGAGCTTCTAATCTTCTTGTCTCTTTAGCCCTTTTTAAACAGGAATTGTGCAAATTTGCAGGAAAGCCCAATCAGTCTTTTTTCAGCATTGGCAGTATAAAAACAAAATCGGGGAGTGCAGCAAAATGCCGCCTACCTACTTTTGTTTACAGAATGTGCCTTTTTCGGAGCAATGGGGGGCGTGAGCAAGTAACAAAATGTGTAGCTCAGCGTGTGACATAAACAGTGACGTGGGAGGGAAGCCGCGGCTGGTCAGTCCTTCAGCAGTTCTCTCATAAGTCGGCCCGTTCTTCACCGTCCCCGTCATCTGACGGTTAATGGCCTCTTCGTTTGCGAGGACAAGGAGGGCGCGCAATTCCTTGTCTCCCCAGTTGCTCATCTTTACAGTGTCTGTCAGGTTTGTGTTTCCCTCTTGCTACTAGCTGCTCGCTAATTCCTGCTATCAGCTGTTTCCTGTTTATCCACCGCCAGTGGGTCGCACGTGCGGCGTCATCAACAGCTCCTCCCACAAGTCATCAACAGCCCCTCTTGTTGCAGAAGGCCGCCTCGGTCTGTTTTAACCAAAAAGGGTTCCGCCAATATGTCTACACTACGAGGCGGAAAATTGGGCACCTCGGATCAACTCGCCAATCCGGCTCTGTGTGTCTAAACGCTCGCAGCTTGCCGGCAAAACGGCCCAATATTCGCCGAAAATCTGGCAGTGTAAAAGGGGCTAATAGTCTGGTGACCTGTTCGGGGTGTGCCCCACCCCTCGCACAATGACAGCTGAGACCTGCAACCCCTAACAGGACAAGCAGTTACGGAAAATGAATGAATTTTTAAATAGCTGGAGATAGCAAAAACTAGTAATGTTCAACATAGATCTGCAACTCAGTCACTTTAATTATCGATTAATCTGACGGTTATTAGCATGATAAGTTGACCATTTAGTCTGTAAAGTGTCACAAAAAAAGTGAGTTCCTGTATTCAGATGTCTTGTTTTGTCAGACTGACTCCAAAACCCAAAGATATTCATTTTACTATCGCAGAAGACAGAAAACTGGCAAAATATTTTCATTTAAGAAGCTGTGTAATGATTTTATTGTGTTTTTGCTTGAAATATTACTTAAATTATTGTAAAAAATGTTGGAGATTGATTAATTAATTGTTTCAGCTCCTCGGATAAACTCCTAGTACACTAATAAGTCCCTCTCACACATGCTGTAGTGGCCATAGTGGCCATTTCAACATACCAAAGTCCCTAGACCACTTAGTCTGGAAGGTGTCTCAGTTTTGACTCCTGTTCCTGTTCCTTTTCTGAAGATCCACAGTCCTTAGACGAGACAGGGAAAAAGTTGAGAATACAAAAAAATTAAAACAAAACGGCAGGCCAAGTCCTTCCAAAATTACATCTCATACGGTCCTCTACCGACGTGATGTCCTATTTCTATATATTCTCACGTGTTACTCGTTATTATAAACTTCAACACTGCATATCACGGTCAAAAACAATACGATCCAAACCAACACAAACTTCGTGTCGTCTTTACGCACAACGTTGTTCACAATCTTGTTTCAACACAGTCACACATTCAGATCAACACAGACATTTTTACCAAACATAAATATGTGCTCTTACACAGGCAGGCTAGCGCTAAAATGTTAAGGAACGTTTTCGGCATTGGGTCATATGTGAATGGCAGCAGGGATTGATATTCAGGGAAATCTGTATCACCACTTTCCCCCCTCAAGCCCTGACAACTTTTCAGGAAAAATGCCGGTACAGCCGTGCTGTGAATGAAAGACGTAACATTGCAGAGACTGTCTGTCTAACGAAAGACGCTTTCACATGGAGCAAGGGGACCACAAGGAATCACGAAACTCTGCTGATGATTGACTCTGTGACTTGTTTACGGTTCAGCATTTACGTCAGTGCATTCGCGGGTGATTTGATTACTAACTAGCAAAACAAGATCTCTTGACAAAACAGCTCCTTGTCTGCCGTGGTCCTGAAGATAAGAAGGGATGTCATTAACAGCGTAAACGCACATCCGGCCTTGCTCCATCTTGCAAACTGGAAATTTCCCTGAATGTCATGCATGTGTGAATACTGAAAATCACAAGCAGTGCCTGAAAGGTTATTCCAGTAATTTACCAGGAACTATGTGTGAAAGAGGCTTTATATACAGTGTTATCAATCAGCCTGTTTATTCTGTTGTCAGATGATCAGATACTCTATAATGTCACACATAACAACAGCCCACTGCAAGTTGCCAGAGCTGAAAGTTATGTCTTAAAACAGAAAATACAAAGACATTTTCACATTTGAAAGGCTAAGACCAGCAGCTTATTGGCATCTTCATTTTATGTATTAATTACTTAATCAATTTTCAAAATCGTCATTGATTAACTTCCTTATGAGAGAGTGCTTGATGAATCCATCACACTTTCAGCTTTTGTGTAAAACGCTGTTAAAGCAGGCAGTGGTTTCTTCAGCCCACGCTGCGAGGCCACTGTGAGACACATCAGAGCAGAGCCAGACCAGATGTCCTCTGATCTGATCAAGTCTGAAGGCCAGTGAAGACTGTTATTGTCCCTCAAAGTCTTCTTGCCCGCTGGGCATCCTCTGAATACTTTTTAATAAGGACCATGCACTGCTGATTAGTGAAGAGCCTAAAACCAGCACACTACCTTCTGCATGAACTCAAACTGTGACAATGATGTTCCGCTCTGCTTCAAGAAGAATGTAGGGCAAAGTCAGTACTTTAGTTAGCACCGACGGCAGAGCAGTTTAAAAGAGAAAGTTCACGCCAAAATCAAAAATACATACTTTTTAGTCTTATTACTATTTATCAGTCTAGATTGTTTGGCGATATCGACCATAGAGATGTCTGCCTTCTTTCCAGTATAATGGAACTAGATGGCGCTTGGCTTGTGGTGCTCAGAGCGCTAAAAAGTACATTTGAAAACATCCAGTTTCATGGAGTAACTGTCTTCTTTCTATCAAACTATACCTGCCAACTGTGTCACTGCGCAGAGGGACATTTTTCATAAAACAATGCGTAGGATCCATACCTAAAATGTACGTACAAAAGCCAAAAAAGGAGTACACCTAAAAACATTAGACAGTTTCTGTAAATAGGCTTCCACCTCACCATCTGTGTCGCCAATTTCACGTCTCCAAAATGTTCGTAAGCTAAAGTTTCTCCCATCAAGTCTGTTTTACAGATCTCCACTTCTGCATGGGAAGTGGCGTACGCATCTTTCAGGCCTCATTTTGTGTGTACGCAATGTTTATAAATGAGACCCTGGACTAGAGGCCAGCTAGCAGTAGAGGTATGCTATGAACCGATACCTGTACCATTACCCAATAGTACCTTTCTTCGGGACTTTAGTTTATCTGTAATAACAAAAATCTAGCTGCAAGGGTGGTGTAGTGGTCTAAAACGCAGTTCTTCTCTTTTCTAATCACACATAGAGGTAACGTTTGGTCACTGCCTGTCCGTCTGCTTGTGCAGCGATGCTAGGTTATTACTAAAATAATAGAAGAAAATAGCCCAGACGCCTAAACGATTGCAGCAGATCGGCACTGCAACAATAGTTTTGGCTTGCTGGGTAGCCATCGGAGCAGTAGTGAAGCTCTGTGGCCGACTTCCTGGGTTTGGGCTGCTTCTGCCTCCTGTCTGAAGTTGAATTTGGCCGCTCCAGAGCTCCTTTGCCAACTTTGGAGCTTCATGTCTGGCTTTCAGGGCGCCTTGCGACACTTCCACCTCTCGTCTAAACCCAGCATTCTCACCCTGATGTTCTCTCAGGTACCAATATTTGGCACCACTGGATTTAACATGAACCGGTACGCCGTAGTGCAAATGTTCTTCAGTCAGAACCCTGAGGGTGTTTTCACATATAGTCCTTTTTAAACAAACCAGACTCAGTCCTCTTAAAGTGAACCATAAAGTGGACCAACAGAAAAGAGACTCAGTCCTTTTTGTGTTCATATTGTCAGTTCATTTGAAAGAGGACTCAGTTCTCTCTCTCTCTCTCGTCAACTTCAGCTCTTTCTTTTCATGGCTCTTTGACGTGGCACTGCAGTGTGATTAATTATGAACTCCCTCGCTTTCAGGTGAACTTAAAACTGGAGGAAAACCTTAGTGTGTCTGTGCTGTAGACTGTTGTTGTTTGATGTATTCTACATTCCACATCTGGAGACGTGCAGTATTTTCTGTGGACCAAACTACTCTTCGTCCTGCGTCCTTGCAAGCGTTACAGGTGTATGTGGTTTTGTCTGTTTTTTTCAAGCATCCCAGTGCAGTAGCGTGTGATCTAGAGCTGTGCTTCCCAACCCTTTTCTTGAGGGACCAATATTTTTACCATTGTAGACTTTGGTCTGAGTTCTCTTGGAGAGTTCAGTACCCGACCCTACTTAGGCGCGATGATACAGTTAGCAGGTGTAGTTTGGTAGAAAGAAAAAAGTTCGTACATGAAACTGCTCACAACAAGGTCTGTGGATTATCTGGATGAAGAGTGAACTTCGCTTTAGTCAGTGTGTGAGCATCAAGTACAAGCTGTGTGAGTGAGATCAAGTGGTAGTTGTCCTTCTCATTCAGGTTCAGCAGTTCAATATGAACTGCGAGTGGCCTGAGTGCGCTGATTTTCAAAAGACTCTACGGTAATGTTGCTGTAAAGATGCCCAAATCACTGGAGCTTGCACTCTAATTGCAGTTATTTCTTCAGACATCTTGGCAGCATCGTGGCGTTTTATTTATAGCTTTAGTTTTCCCAGGAGTAATGGCAGATCATAAATACAGTATGCAAACAAAATAACAGTGTTTTCCCCATCATTAGGCTTTCTCTATGGAACTAGATGAACTGCAATGAAACACGTGCGAGCTTGTAGACGGTCTGAGTCGTATTCTAGTTGATGTTAGCCGTGTGTGATCATGTGCTTGTGACGGCGCTCCCCTTTAATTTTTTTGTCTTCCCCCAGGTACAATGGCTCTCTTCCAAGCGGAGACCGTGGGCGCAGAAAGAGCCGCTTCGCTCTGTACCGAAGGGCCAAGGCCAACGGTGTCAAACCCAGCGCTGTGCACATCCTCAACACGCCACAGGACAGCAAGGTACGTGTGTGTGAGCATGTTTGTGTTTTATCAGTGAGCAACATTAGCTTCCTTCCTGTGACTCCCTGTTGTCGTTTATAAATGAGCCAGAGGAAGGATGACTAAGCATGACGGCTGGCGTGTGTGTGTGTGCGCCTGCCTGCCTGCCTTCATACAGATGATTGCATTATGAAAGCCACATGTTGATGAAGTAAAATGAACACAGGTCACCGTCACATGCTGCTTTCACATGTAACAACAAAGTATGAAACTTTTATTTTATTTCTATCATGTAGGTTCATCTTATGGAATTTTTGAGTTATGATATGATTCAGTCTGATGTTTGTTCTGTCAAGAAAATGAAAGACTTTACCAGAGGACGAGTCTGTGACCTCAGCTTGTTGCCGTTGTCGTTGCAGGCTGTCCACAGCAGGGGGCAGCACAGCATCTCTTTCACTCTGTCCCGTAACCAGACGGTGGTGGTGGAGTACTGCCATGACAACAACACAGACATGTTCCAGGTAACCACCACGAAAATCAAGACAACAGGGTCATCTTTCCCAAACACCCCCCTCTGAATAATAGGCCTCATTTTACAGCTAAAATAATCCTACGTTTGTGACGAGTTTCTACAAAAATATGCTGTTATCTAACGCCATCAAAGGAATTTCTACAGATTATTTTGGTTCTGTCGTGACCATTAGAGTAAAGACTGGTGGAAAATCTCCAGGAAAGTCTATTTTTATACACAGAGTTCTGATCTTATATTAGTATCACAGATTTATTTAATTTCCAACAAATGATAACACTGTTGTAGCAGAGAGATCCTTTACTTAACTAAAAGTACTAATACCACACTGTAAAAATATCATGTAGGTATAATCAGGAAAATGTACTTAAAGTATTAAAAGTAAAAGTACTCAGTGCAGACAAATGTCCCATGCTACTGTAATACCATTATATACTATATCACAAGATTATAATGACTCATGCGTGAATGTAAAAGCAGAATTTCAGAGATGCAGTTGGTCAAGGTGCAGCTAAATATGAGCTATTTTGCATGAAAAATGACTTCACTGGTTATAAATGGTGGCCAATTAATTCTTTTGTTAATCTATACTGTACCTGTACTGGTAGTTTAATGTATAAGATATAAAATTGTAAATTAATGAGCACCTGAAGTTGTCAAATGAAGCTGCAGTATGTTTCCCTCTGAGGGTGCTGTCACACCTGCCCTGTTTGGTTCCATTCAATTTAGCTCAAGTTCATTTGCCTCCTAAGTGCGGTTCGTCTGGGCAGGTGTCAACAACTGCACTCGGGTGAACAACCGGACCGAGACCTTCTTGAAGAGGTGGTCTCAGTCTGGTTCCAAAGGAACTCTGGTGCGGTTGGTTTGTGGTGAGAAGGTGTTCCGACCTGGATGTGAAGCAACTGCAGTCACATGACACATTGATTGGGTTAAACATGAGCATGTTACAGTCCTGGAGGATTATTAATGTGCACCTCCTCCTGTACTGCCTTAATATGCACATTCAGCACATCCAATGCATCAAAACATTGTTTTCTAGTTGGAGCCGCGCCTCGTTTTCAAACTGTATGGTTTGACTAAAATGAACAATGACAGCAATATAGTCCACGATGAGCAGCGCTAAAATCAACCTGCGTAGTTGTCCCTCCATTGTGACATTAGAAAGTGTCACATTTATCTTGCAAGTGTACTCTTCTTCAACGTTTGCTTTACTTCCTGGATTTTTCCCACATGGAAATTCTGACCAATCAAGAGCAGAGATGTAAATGCTGCCGTGAGAACACAAACCAACTCTAAGCAGTTGAACAGCTTTGTAAAAAAAGTAGTCCCTGATGCAGACCAAAGCAAGGGAACTCGAGGTCTGAAAGCACCCTGAGAGGTAGAGTAGAAGTAGAAAGTACCGTGAAAAGAAAACACTTCAGTAAAATGCAAGTACGAATAAATATACTATACAAAATACTTGAAAAATTCCATCTATGCAGTTATGTCAGCGAGCATTTCTCTGTGCTGTGCCCTACAGATCGGACGCTCCACAGAAAGTCCCATTGACTTTGTGGTGACAGACACCTCCGGAGGGGGGAAGGAGGGGGAGGACCCCTCCATCGCTCCCAGCACCATCTCACGTTTCGCCTGCAGAGTGGTGTGTGAACGCAACCCACCTTATACTGCACGCATCTACGCCGCTGGCTTCGACTCCTCCAAAAATATCTTCTTAGGGGTGAGTAGAGTGATGATCCAACCAACAAAGGTTTTTTAAGAAAAGTGTATTATTGGAATCAGTATTGAAATAATTTTAAGAGGAACTATCGTGCTTATTTCATTCTTGCATTTTGGGTTTCTACTAGAAGATGTCCACATGCTTGAATGGTCAAAATACACTTCATTTTCCTCATACTGTCTGTGCTGCTGGAACACCTGTATTCACCCTCTGTCTGGGACGCTCTGTTTAAGAGGATGTCTCTTTAAGCCCACTTCCCGAAAAAGCCAAGTCTGCTCCGATTGGTCCTCTGCATTTCAGCATTTCTGCATCATCATTACAGACGGAATAATTGTAACAGATTATAGTAACACTCTACTGTGAAAAATCATCAATAAAAGCCTCTAAACCCCAGCAGAACTTGATCCAAAATTGGGAAGAAATTAACATCTGCAACCAAGATTACATGTTTCCCTGACGTTAGCATGTAGCTACATGTAGCAGTGTAGGCTACGTATAGTGAACACTTGCAGCAGTGTGCCTGGAGAAGATGATCATACAAAGAAATCATGAAATCCAAAGTGTGGGATCATTTTGAGAAGGTGAAGGACGAACCCAAGGTGATATGTAAACTCATCTTCATTGGTCGACTACAAACATGACGTATCATCTGAAACATGGAAGTAGCTACATGCCCATTAGCCCACAGCGTCATTAACAGGCGGCTCGCTCAGTGTGTGACGTGCACTTGGAGATAAAATATAGGCCTATATTAATGAAGGTTCATTAGTACGGTTTTGTATTTCTCTGTAATGTAGCACAGTGTTAACAATGTTACTGATACTATTCTTTCTCACACCTTCAACTCAAACCACCAAAATATATCATTTAATCATTACATTCATATCAGAAACATGTAGCTGACTAGTCAACTAATGGCCCTAAATGGCGACTATTGGTCGACTAGGAAAATTCTTAGTCAGGGGCAGCCCTAATATCCAGCATTGGAATATTATATACATGACAGAAAATATGGAAAAGCATAATAGGTTCCCTTTAAAACACCGTTAAAACCTCATTGATCTCATGTCTTTGTCGCCACAGGAAAAAGCAACCAAATGGAAAAACCCTGATGGGCACATGGACGGCTTGACCACCAACGGGGTGCTAGTGATGCATCCAGAGGGGTTCCCAGAGGACCCCAAGCAGGGTCTGTGGAGGGAGATCTCTGTCTGTGGGGATGTCTACGCTCTGCGGGAGACACGCTCTGGACCCAGCAGGGGCAAACTGGTGAGTCACCATAGCCACCCGTGAGTCAGCAGTTTGGTGTCCACGTTGCCATTTGGCTCCATCGAGGTAGTGCGGTGTGGTTTTGGTTTGATTGTAAGCACGTGTCTGTCTGTGTATCATCCTCTGCAGGCGGAGGGTGAGAGCAGTGCACTACGTGACGGTTCCCTGGTTGACCTGTGTGGTGCCACCCTGCTGTGGCGTACAGGCGAGGGGCTCATGCGTGCTCCCACTCTGCGTCACCTGGAAGCACTTCGCCAGGAGCTCAATGCGTCCCGGCCCCAGTGTCCTGTCGGCCTCAGCACACTGGCCTTCCCCAGCTTGCCACGCAGCCACAGGTGGGAGCCACAGTATGTTTCAAGAATACTTTTTCTATCAGGATCCATCTTGTTATGTATTAAAAACAGACAGTGAGTTCCTGGCGCCAAGCGTGTGTGGACGCAGTTTAAAATATTGACTTTCTCTTGATGTCTTACTTCAGCCTTGAAGAGCGTCAGCCATGGGTCTACCTCGCTTGCGGCCACGTCCACGGACGCCACGACTGGGGCCAGAGATCTGAGGGAGTGGAGATGCCAGGAGAGGGCGAGGGTTCCACGACCCGCCGAGAATGTCCCCTGTGCAGGAGCGTGGGTCCCTACGTGCCCCTGTGGCTGGGCTGCGAGCCTGCTGTGTACGTGGACGCTGGAGCCCCCACTCACGCTTTTGTGCCGTGCGGCCACGTCTGCTCGGAGAGGACAGCCAGGTACTGGGCTGAGACCCCGCTTCCACACGGGACGCACGCCTTCAGACCCGTCTGCCCCTTCTGCTCGTCTGCCCTCAGCACCCCCGGCTGGACGCGGCTCATCTTCCAGGGCCCCATCGACTAGTCGCCACTCCTCAGCAACCACTATTACAGTAACAGGAAGATGCCTGAGCTTCATTCATGGTGCAAACGTTGGTCAGTGCTCAGTGTGGATGGGTAACATCTTGAGTGTAAGGCTGCATTCACAACATATCAGGCATTGCGATGGTCAGCTGCAGAGTTGGGCAGCAGTGTGGATATGTCACTTAAATTTGTGGGGCAATCTCAATCTCACCGGCTGAGTATTCGTCTTTAGTAGAATTCCCTTTCGATTATCATCACTGTAGTATCTTTACCGCCACAAAAGACTTGATGATCACGAGAATTAGGTAGGGAAGAGGATATATTGATATCGGTATTGGTAATCGGGCAAATGAGTTGTTGCATATCTGCCTAAAATCCAATATTGTGCATCCCTAGAGTGAACACAGAATATTTGGTCTCTCTGGCAAGAACTCTAAAACTACTAAAACTCTTTGTTCACTCGATGGAAAAAAATCAAAATGGCAGATTTTACAAAACACACGACCCTTCCCTTAAAAACTTTACGGAAGAAACACAAATTCTGCTTTCCAGAATGTCCAGAATGTTTCTCTCTGCAAGTCCTCTCCTTTGCCCCCTCCGTCACTCACACACTGATGAGGATTAGGTGCGAGCAGCTCTGTTTTGTGTCACGTGCATGCCAGGAAACATTTGGTGCAGCTGTATTGTTGCTCTGCAGTGCCAGAAGCAGGTTGTGGTAATGAAAAGGAAAAATAGGTGTGAAAATCTGTCATAAAGCAGGAGGAATTCTGGAGAATTGTGATCCCGGGATATCAGGAGAGGGCGATGACAAACACGAGTCTCCCGTGAAAATCAGTTCGTTTGGCAAGTATGACAGAACACACAAGCTTTCTCCTTTCTTTCACTCACTATAATATCTAACAATAGAAAGAGACTGTAACGCAGGTAATGTGTTTGGCGAGATATTGGGTTGCGTTTCTCCAAAAGATGATTTCTGTTTTAATGTTCTGCAGCCCCACTGCTGTAGCTGGACGCACTACCCACATTTAAAAGACTGGGGCGGGTGGCGATTTTGCCGCAAGCCTGATTTGGTATGAATGTAGCCATAAATAAACACTGTCCGACGTTGTTCCTGAATGCAAGCTGAAAAATCCTTCCCCTTGTTTATCCTTGTGCTTGTTGAGAGGTATGAGATCTGGAGAACAGGTGAGAAGATCATGACAGAATGATCTCTACCGTCGCTGTGCAGTCCTCCGTCATGGAAGAGTCTGCTGTTTTTCATTCCAACCAGACACTACACATTCACCAATTACCAAATCTTCATTAAGAGGGTTCTTATAAATAAAACTGTGTATACACAGGAGGTTAAACGATGCTGCTTCCCCCTTTTCAAACAATCATTTTCACTCCATTATCGATCCAAACACTTTCGTTTATCAGAAGCCATGTATGAAATGACACGTACTTTTTTGCACATAAGAGAGGAATGGCCTTTTTACTCAGTTCATCTGCAGCGTCGGTGCACGTCTGCAGCGCCTGTGTGTCCTTAACTCGGTGAAACAAACACCACCTCTTGCACTTCTCGGCCTGATATCCGACCACCTCTTAATTTCTAAAAGACATTATTTGTAGTCGTTGTCAAATCATCAAACAGTACAACCCATCAGGTCTCAGCTGCTGCAGCTTCTTGTTCCCTTTATAGATTTGCATGTCTTCCTTCCTGACCGGCTGATTTATATTTATATTCTCAGCAGGCCACATTCATAGTTAACGTGGGAGGTTACAAGGTGAGATCAGAGGCTTGTGCTTCTGTTGAGTGTTTCAAGTTACTATTGATTCACAAAGGGAAACTTATTATCAGTTCTTAAAATGAGTATATGCAGTTTTCATCTTGTCTTCGTACATCTTTTTAGCGTGTAATCTATGCAGCATAGAAACCCCACAAATAAGACCCCTCGTGTAGTATAAGGTTGGAATGAAAACCTGCAGACTCTGATTATCTCTGAAGCACTACACGCTTTGTGATGGCGCCACAAAGAATTCACCTCTTAAGGCCAGATCTTATCCCGATTATCAAGCAGAGCGAGGATAAGCACGGGCCGGGAGTGAAACTGGGTAAAATCCACTTCATAACTCTCTACAGCAATAACAGCACTCCCATAGATAAGCTAGATGTTGTGCTATGTTTAGCCAAGTGTTAGGTCGGCGGTCGCTTTTAAACATGGCTGAAATGGTTTCCAGGTTAAGGGCTCAACCAGAGGTGTGTTCAACGTAATGATTTATTTTTATTTCCAAATGTGTGTGTGATATAACCAAAGCACTAGAATTTAAAGATGAGCAACTGAATCAGCGATTAAAGGAATCCTTCACCCCTCAAATGGCAATTTGTATATCAGTTACTCATCCCGTGTTGCGGTGAGTTTGTGAAGAAAACCTTTGTGTGCATGCGTCCTGTGAATGAAGAATCCTAAAATATAGAAATTTCTGCGCGTAAACTATATCAAAACATCTGTTTACAAAGTCTCACACAGCTTATGCAGTATAATCCAAGCCTTGTCTATCCAGTTGTATGATCAGCACTTCTCAAACACATGCATTTTCACTAACATGTTACTATTTAAAATGAACTGAAAGTAAAACGTATTTATGCTCTCTTAAAACCAGACTCCATTGACAAAAACAGTCATTTTACATCACTGAACACAGGAGCAGCTGGTCTACCGCTGTCTCGATCAGTTAGTTTGTTTGTGTTATTGTGTGACTTTGGTGTTTTAAAGGGTTGGTTCAGATTCAGCAAAGTCACACAGAAACACAAACAAGCTTCCAAATGAGGCAGCAGTAGACCAGCAGCTCCTGTGTTCAGCGAGGTAAAATTACTGTTTTTGTCAATGGAGTCTGGCTTGGAAAATTTTGCTTTACATTCAGTTGCCCATGGGAAAGGGCCATCTGTTTGGGAAGTACCGAGCACACGACTGGATAAATGAGACTTGGGTTATACTACACAAGGGATGTTTTGATATAGTTGGCTGTGGTTTGACATGGCCCCCTATCACTTCAATTCAACGGCTTTAATTCGTCAAGAATTTTCCCGTTTTTGGATTCTTCGTTTGATGTAGGGAAGCCAGAAAAACTAAATTGTCTTCACAAATTTACCTGAACACGGGGTGAGTGATTCATGTACAAATTATCATTTGGGAGATGAATTATCCCCTTAAACCTGCCATTTATTTAAATTCATTTTAAAGGTGTTAAAAGCCGAAACATGCTGACAGAAATTAACGTGTTCAGGCTGCAGGAGAACACAGCAGCTGTTGTGTTAGTTTGAACACACCTCTGGTTACTGAATTAAGCTAAACAGGGTCCATGTTAGTGTGGTGGAGTGTCAAAAAGGTTTGACCTTGCATAACCTCAAAAGATAACCTTTTTTTTTTGTTTCAAAGAAAACTATTTTGTAAGGAAATGGGGTGGGATTTATTCGGGGAAACGGGAGGAATTCTTTTAGATGTTCAGTGTTAAAAAAAAACAACAACTATTTTTCTAACTGATAATTGGTTTTAGTTAACTGATGTTACTCAGTGTAAGCAAGTTATGTATGTTTCCGAATATTATCGTGTGGTAGATCTAGGAGAGCTTGTGAGTGAGAAAACATTGCCAACACTGTGTCCAACAAACACACACTTAACACACTGCTACCGTTAAAAAAAAAAACCATTGCCCAGACAATGAATGTAGCCAAATATTCGGGCTATATTTAGCCTTCCCTGGTGCTCATATTGAATGGTCTATATTGTGATACTATTTTTGTAACTGAATATTATGGTGTAGCTTGGTGAACTAGCTCGAAAAAGTCAGAATAATTTCAATAATAGCCTCAAGTGTGGAAGACGTATAATTGATAATACACACTCACATGGAAATTGTGTCTAGCTTGCATGTGCTGAACGTACACATACAGTATGTACACTACACGTACACTTACTCGAAACTTTGCACGGTTGATTGCCAACCTGTTATTCATGCTGAGAGCGTTTGTCGCAGACCAAGATGTCTTCCGAGTCCTCAGTTGTTAAAACTGCAGCATTTATGTTTTTTTTGTTTTGTTATATTTTGGAAGACCTCTCCAAAAGAAAAAAGAAAAGAAAAAAGAGGGAGAGCCTAAAAAAAAATCCTCATACTTGATAGATGCGTGACGTTTGTGAATGAGACCTATTGAATCCCACTTTGTACTACTATGCTAATGACTTCCACCAAACCAACTCACTGCAGAAAGATGTCCACATCCACACTTGTTTTCATTTTGTATTCAGACTAATTACGGTGCATTTCAGGCGATTGAAAGCCAGCCTGCTGTTTTCAAAATGCCTTGTGAAGTCTAAATACAAGATTTAAACTCCCTATAGTGCGGCGGATAATTGACGTAGTGTTGATAATTACTGTAGCTCAGGATTAGTGATTTCAGATTCGCAGCTGGCGAGGCCTGAAGGAAGCCTGGTAGAAGACACTTTGAGTCAAAATGTTTCACAGCTGCAAAACTCACCAGCTTGATGTGAGAGTAACCATCTAATACAAATGCCAAATTGTAGAGGGCACACTGTCGGGTAGATTGCCACAGGTCTAGGATCAGTCACATACGGGTCTTAAAGGAATACCTCACCCTCAAAGTTGTCATTTGTATATCAGTTTTTCACCTCATGTTACATTGAATTCACAAAGACAACTTTGTTTTTCTCGTATGCCTCCACGGAACAAAGAATCCAAAAATGGAGAAAAGTCTTGATGAACCAGAGTGAATGGGGGCCGCGTTTAACAACAGCAAAACTATATCAAAACAGCCGTTTATAAACTTTCACAGTTGTATGCCAAGTACTTCCCAAACTCAGGCATTTCATCAAAGTGTCTTAAATAGTAAAGTTGTATGACAAAAAAGTTCAGGCTGCATAGTTTCAACAAAGTAGTATGTCCCAACTGTACGCATACTCCATGTAATACCAGGTTCACACTATACGAGATCGGCCCGTCTATAGCCCGACGCAGCGTTGTACAATGTCAGCTCGGATTGTGAATGACGTGTTGTACGCGATAATCCATCGTTTTATCTCATGTAGTGTGTCATAGTAGACAACAAACGATGCCACGTCTGGGACACCTCATGACGTCCCGGCAGAAAGTCTAGCATGTTTGATTTTCTTTTTGTCGTTCACGACTTCTCCCGTCACAGCCGTCACTTTGACCAATGGGAACACAGAGCGATCTGCTGCCGACACCTGTATGACAACAACACCTCGGCCTTTTAGATATTTCCTCTTGGGATGTTACCACAACAGAATAAAAAGGGAAAACTTATGGTGTGAAACAGCAGAGGCACTTTATCAACCCGCTGAGTACTGCCATTAGCATCAAGCTAGCAAACAATGTTATTTCTTTATAATGGGGACGGACATAAAGTAGGAAAATTAGCTACCAGCTTCATTTGAAACAGACTACATTATAGACGGGCTGTTATTTATCATTCCCTCTGTGTTCCTATATTTCTACTTTAAATCTGCTCCTGTTTGCCTTGATAAAGTTAATGGATGGCGCCGTCGTTTCAAACTCAACACTTCCTGTATCGGTTTCAAATTAAAAGCCCCTTATAATTTCAGTTAAGAGAATCCCCTCACTTTCCAAACAGGCTTTAATCAGGCTTATTTTTAGGAACTTTCTGTGGAGGATTCAGTGACTTGCAGAGATTGCAGAGTCACTGAGAGATTGCAGAGATTTTTATGTTACTACAATAACATTTCAGCTCGGACACAAACAGACACAGTGACTGAAATAATAGTGAAAGACAGCCAGTGATTGGTTGTGGACCAACGTGTAGTCTGTCATGTCTGTTTGCCAAGTCAAGGCACAATTTTTGACCTCACAATCGCCTAATCTGACATAGTGACTGTCGGAACGGACAAAAATGTCATCCATTGTGAACCCGGCATAACAGTACATACTTTGTAAGGGCAGCTGCACTATGCTAAGTCTGCAATGCGGAACGCAGGGTAGAATTATACTGTGCAAGTTATGTGAGTTTTTGTAAATGGATGTTTTGATATAGTTTTGCTGTTGTTAAACGCGGCCCCCCTTTACCCCAGTTCATCAAGACTTCTCTCCATGTTCGGATTCTTCGTTCACCGTGGAGACAGGAGTGAGAAAAACACAGTTTTCTTAGCAAATTCAACGTGACATGGGATGAGAAACTGAAATACCAAGGATTAGTTTGTAAGTGAAGTGTTTCTTTAAAGCTACAGTTGGTAACTTTTATAAAGAGTTCTTTTTTCATCTATGCTGACACTGTCACTACATGCACACAGCCCGAAATGAGACACATAATGAGAGAGTTTGTGACTCAGCAGCCATGTTGGATACAGTTAAACAGGAATACCAAGCGCCACCATCAACATTCTCATTTTACAGCTAAACAGTACACTAAAATATGTTTCTGGCAACATTTGAGGTGAGAAACAGGCAATGCAGTAACAGAATCTTGACTCATATTTTATCAGCCCTCCAACACAACTGCATTAGAGACTCCTCAACTGATTGGTTGTCGCTGACTGTGCCGCGGTCTGACTTTAAACGAATGCCACTAGAGGCAGTGGGAGAGGAAGAGAACGGGACTTTTGTCTTGACTTCTGTCTCGTGTACGTCTGTGAGAATATAGTGACAGTTTCAGCAAATATGACAAAAATTACTTCCATATAAGTGACCAAGTATAGCTTTAATAAAAGGGGTCAAGGCAACAAACAGGCTTTGAAATCAAATCAATCAGCTGCCCTTTACTCAGCACGCCAAATCCAGTGAATCCTGCTTTTGAAGATGATATATACAAACAAATTAATGTAACATCATTGGCATGTGGATGGAAGAACCGTTGCAGCACCCTCATTGGCTTCTAGTTTATAACCTGATATATTTATTTTTAGTTACTTTTCCTTTGTTTTATTCTTGGTTTCAACCCTCTGTGGGTTCTAGGTGTTCATATGCAATTTCCTCTCTCTTGTTTTTAGATTTTAATACCTGTGAATTTTTCAGAAACAGTATTTTAGGTTGTTTGATACCACCAGTAACATCATTAGCAGCTCCCTAACTTTTTTTTTACTATATGTTTTAATTGACCTTCACTCCAGATGACAAAACCTCAACCTCCTCAACTTATGAGCTCATCTTCCTGCAGGTGAGTGAGTAGCTGACATGTATTATACAGCGTAAAAACCTCACAGCTAATAATGCATTCCTTTTAATACATCGGTGTTATGTACAGCTATTTTGTATTATTTTATATCATATTCTTCTGTAATCGCCCGGTGCACAGACAATCGCTATACACATGTCAATAAAGCTGTTAAAAAGCTGCTCTGTTCATCTGACTGTTTGATTGTGTTGTCTTCAGGGTGTGAAACGCTGCAGATCAGCAAGAATCCAGTTTGTTTATTTAAAAAATCAGGAGGTGTACTTCATATGTGCCAGCAGAGGGCGTTCACCACCAGCTCTGCAGTTGACAGCAGAGCGCGCGCACACACACACACACACACACACACACACACACACACACTCTGTGATGAGGTTGCTCCGAGTTGCATCACCTCTTTAAAATAATCAAGCGTTTTAATGAGCAGTTTTGGCAGTCGTGTTCATCACCACGCAAATGTGATAAGACGCCGCAAATGTCTGCAAAATCACAGAACCCCTGATTTAAAATAGCAATTTAAACGACTTAAGTTTGTTTCTTTGAAAAGTATTCAGGATGTCTGCTGAAAGACTCCCGAAGACCTGCTGAGAGTGCCGTCATTCAGAAGTTTGTTCAGAAATTATTTCACTCTTGAACCATGGGGAAGAGGCTTTTTTTTTCTTTCAAAGATTATGAAGCCTATTTCATGGGTATCTCGGCGCCACACTACATTTAATTTCCTCCAAAGCATGGCAGGAAGAAAACCAAACGCTGAAACTCTGCAGAAGAGACGGTGTGAACTGAGTAAATTCTGGTCCATGATAAGATACTCTGTAATTTTCATACAATATATTGTAATAAGTGATACGTGTCCTTACTTGTGAGTGTATTAACTAATTTGGTTGGACAGCATTTTATTATACAGTTTGCCAAAATGCTTTTATAATGACCAGAACATTTTTTCAAGTTGTAAGTGAACTTGAGTAACAGCTGTTAGGCAGCCTGTCCTCAATGCTTTAAATGATGGTAATGTCCTTGTAGCTGTAGCCTGGTTCTCACTCAGCGATATGTTTTAATAGGGAAGAGCATCTCTAGATTGTTACAGACAAATTCTAGTTTTGTTTGTTTGACCAGAATTCAAACAGCAGTAAAAAAAAAATACAGGCATACAGGACATATTTCCATCGAGGTCCCTGATGTTCCCTCAAAATATCCCAGTCATGTACATATATGTATGATTCAACAAGGTGCTGGAAACATTCCTCAGAGACTTTGGTCCATATTGACATGATGACATCACACAGTTGATCCATGATGAGAATCTCCCGTTCCAGCACATCCCAAAGGTGCTCTATTGGACTGAGATGTGGTGACTGTGGAGGCCATTGGAGTACAGTGAACTCATTGTCATGTTTGAGATGATGTGAGCTTTGTGACATGGTGCGTTATCCTGCTGGAAGTAGCCATCAGAAGATGGGTACACTGTGGTCATAAAGGGATGGACACGCTCAGCAACAATACTCAGGTAGGCTGTGGTGTTTAAACCATGCTCAGTTGGTACTAAGAAAATCTCCCCCACACCATTACACCATCAGCAGCAGCCTGAAGCGTTGATACAAGGCAGGATGGATCCATGCTTCCATCTGAATGTGGTTTTGTCTGTCTTGGGTCTCCTTGGCGAACCTACATTTTGGATTCCAAACCCAAAATAAAAAGTCTTGGTGGAAAATGCTGAATTTGATATTGCATAGACAGATTTGTTTACTTTCGCTGCAAGGTATCAAGTATTCACGAATACCTTACAGCAAAGTAGCCACCTAATGATAAAAAATATTAAAGATTAGACCTATTAGTGATGTTGATAAGCTAATTTAGACTCATTTAAAAGGCTGTATTATAAGGCTTAAATATATTTTGTGGCTCCAGACAGATTTAATTAATTTTGTTGGGGCCAAAAATGGTTCCTCTGGTAGTAAAGGTTGCCGACCCATGTCTTATTGAGTTTGGTACCCAACCATAGTGTAGCCCACAAGTGGCTAAGAAAACTGACTGCTGCTGCTTTAAGGTGAGTCCTGCTGCAGAGGCACCTAGTGTCAAAATCCAGCTGTAATGCTTTTATAATTTAAGATACTGTTGTTTTAATGCTGCATGATGAAAATATCCCATCATAGGAAACACTGAACATGTTGCTCAGAGAGAAGAGAGAAGAGGGAAGGGGGGTTGATGGGGGCCCAGCAGCTCTTTTGTGCCATGAGACTCCCTTGCAGATTTATCCGGCCATGCTCAGTGTGTGTGTGTGTGTGTATGTGTCCTGGGACCTAGCATAGATGATGGAGGCCGGGTTTAGCAATACAGTTCGATTCTCAGTGGAGGGATTTGTAGGTTTTGATCCGAGCTAATTAATGAGAAACCCTCAATGGGGAGTAATGGGTATCTGTGGCTGGGAAGTTTGAAGGGGACTCTGTATGTGTGTGTGTGTGTGTGTGTGAGTGTTTACATGCATAAGTCTGCGCGTGCATTCACACAAACACAGCGTATGAGCTCGTCCCAGTGAGGATCGTGTGAAGGCATCTGAGCTGATGTGTGAGTGTTAATCAACGACTCAGAAACCTTCCTCTCTGCGGACTCACCCTGGAGGTAGCAGTGGGAGTTCATGCCATTGTTCAATCAATCCACCCATTAACTACAAACACTGGGAAACTTTAATTAATCCGAGGCCACAGACGATTAATTAACTTTAAGACTTTCACTTCTTTTTTATTCCCTTCGACACATTTCACTAAGTCACCCAGCCATAGAAAGTGTTAATTTAGCCACATAATTTACAAATCCAATTAAAGCCCATATTAAGGCATCACAAGCTGCTGTCCTGTGTTCTCCACTCTTATAAGACTTTCCTCTTTTGTGGCTCGACTGGCAGTGAATGCCAGCACACGTAAGCTGAGCAGAATGTATTAAACAGGGGTTAAGAGTTGTAATAAGTTTGATTATTTTATGGAGTTTATTATGCGGTGTTATCCTGTTAGGGAGGTGATGTTGTGGCAGTGGGTTGGTAATCCGGACTGTCTTGTGTCTCACCGAGTGGTCTCCCGCTCCGCCGCCACACGTCACCAGGAAGAGAAGGCCCAACCTGGATGTGACTGGATGAGCGTACGACAGAGGAGGGGATCTGTTTCAACACCTGTCACAAACTATATAGCTCACTTAAGCTTCGCTGCTGGTGACGCTGCTCCACCTCTTCACACTCCACTTTTATCCAAATACCAAATCCTGCTTATTTTTATATGAACATCATTTCAACATTTTCATTTGGTACACAGCGTTGGTACAGTGAGGTGACACAGAGGTCGTGTCCTCACTTTACATACAACAGTCAGAAACTTGCACATGGTGGATACTTCATCCTCCACAGCAACTCATATCTGTCCTCTGTGGGGACACGACACTGAGGCCTTCATCGTAGAAACTATGCATGCATCTATTTGACTCCAGATAAACTGTGAAAAGGACATCCTGGGTAACACACATGTTGGTGTGACCAACACAACATGTTTTTTGTCCTTTCAAAAAGGGGGGAACTGCAGCAAACACATTTTACAGCAGTAAAGGACACAAGTGATTCAATTTGTAAAGATATACTGTTTCTGTTCTTCATATGGATGCTTTTTGGGATTCTAACTAGTATATTATATTAAGATTTCAAAAGTCTATGTTCATTTTAAGCTTTTCAAAATACACCTTTCAGCGCACGACCATTTTCCATACCTCAGAAATCACTGATTTTGAATGAGAAGTGACACCTAAGTGAGGGTTCTGATATTTTAGCTATTTAGCACAGATTCAAGGGGGGGATAAACAGATTTTTTTTTTCTTGAACACACATGCAGTAGTAGAACATCCTGTATTTTTGGCATACTGCATTTGACATACTATTCAGTGGGACTAGGGATGCAGCGATCCGATATCTGGATCTAATATCGGCCCTGATATCATCAAAATAGATGGATCAGGTATCTGAAAATGCAACCTATACCTGAGGCGATCCTTTGCCTTTAAATCTATTGTGACACAAGCTACGTCATGCGCCATGGAGCGAAGGAGAGAATCTGCTTTTGTTAAAAATAAATAGTTCATCTTTGCATTAATCTGTTTCATCTTGTTTCATTTTATCTTAGGAAAGAGCTGTGTAGTCATCAGTGCCTGATGCCTCTAATCTTTTCTGTTCTTCATGTAACGGTATATAGCTTTTTAGGTCAACCATGGTATCGGATCGGTATTAGCTGATACTCAGAGCCGCAGCATCGGGATCGGTATGGAAACTGAAAAAGCTGGATCGGTGCATCTCTAATTGGGACATACTAAATCTTTCTCTGGCATACTTTATAGTATGGTAGTATGGGTACTGGAACTCACAGTTTTTCTCCACCAGGATTTCATCCGTGCAGCGTGGTCGCAGCTTTAAGGCCCCCATGTACAGAATATTAGTAAAGCAACCAAATCTCCTGCAAACCACACGTGTTACATTTGTCAATATTATGTTGAGGATACGTTCAAACTTTTTACATTTCAGCAATACGACAGTCAACGTGTGGTGATGTTTAGGCGCAAAAACCACTTGGATATGGTTACAAAATCATAATGTTTGAGCAGTTTTGGGTATCTCTGTACCGCACTTAGTAAGGCTCGCCTAGGTGACCCATCATCGACCATCCCCTCCACCTCCTGATGACACAATCACCTCATATACTACTAGACTTAAGAAACACTGATATTCTGTACGAATGAAACGTACAAATGTAACGCATTCCTGGTCTAAAGAAACGTACAATGCCAACATTTTCTTCTGGCAACAGGGATGATTATTACGTATGAAAAATCTAAACAAATACGAAAAAATATTTAGACATTATTTGTCTTTCTTTATTTTTATTTTTTCATTTATGTGTTTATTTTTTGCCTCTGATGAAACTGACCACATGACCTCAGTATTTCTCACTTACATGGTATTAAATTAGCATAAATCTGTATTTAAATATTTAAGTAGAGCCATAACTGTATCACACTACTGGAGATAAGTGAAAAATGTGTCAGTGATTTGGCTGAAGTGATGCCTATTTATTTTATTTTTAAATTCACAGATTATTTCATAACTTCAGACAAAGCTCTTCAAATGTCTGAAACAAAATCTTCAATAACTTTTTCAATTTTCACTTAAAGTTTGCTCTTTAAAAAAAAGGCAAAGTCTGCTTTACAGAACCATGTCATTCAACCCGGAAACCGTGGGAAAACGACGCACACCTTTTTTAGAATGCACGTGCCCCTCCCACAGTCTTTAAATGCGACGGGAAGCCCCGCCCACCTGCTTCCGGTTTTACACAGAACTGAATTTTCGCCGTTTTTTCTCCACATAAAAGAACTGAGGTAAGTTTCTCCTCATTATCTATCAAAAGTAATATTGTTGGCGTTTGGCTTAAACAGTATTTAGTCTGACTTTGTATTATTTGCTGACTAAACTTACAGAAACTGGTTTTGCCTCTGAAACTAGTGACCAAACAGCTAATGTTCTTGTTTGTTTGTTTGTTTTTCACATCTTATTAATAAACAGCATAAAAACAATACAAATGTTTGAGATACATTAGATAGAGTATGCCAGGGGATTAGAACAGAACAATAAGAGATATCTTACACTGCTCAAGAAAATTAAGGGAACACCTAAGGGAGCGTTTGTCAGACCTTAAACTGGTGCAGAGGGCCCTGGGTTCCTCCTGGTGCAGAGGGCCCTGGGTTCCTCCTGGTGCAGCGGGCCCTGGGTTCCTCCTGGTGCAGGACAATGCTTGGCCTAATGTGTCCAGAGTGTGTAGGCAGTTCCTGGATGACGAAGGCATTGATGCCATTGACTGGTCCTCTTGTTCCTCTGATCTAAATCCAACTGAGCACTGATGGAATATTATGTATCCGTGAATCTGATGCTCCATACCACCACAGACTGTCCAGGAGCTTCCTGGATCCCCCAAGACACCACCATCCGAGAATAGAATTGACTTGATGTTTGAGTTCATATTCAAACATGAAGAATGGAGGGTTTATGATTTATGTGTCGGTCTCTTTTTCCTGTTTGTAATTTGCTGTTGAAGCCAACCCCATTTGTCTTCCGTGTTATTTGAGGAGGGAAGTGCTCCTGGAGCGGCGTCCCTTTGCTGCTAGATGAATGTAGGCCAAACACTCCTCTGTTCCCACATCTTCCCCAAAGTTCCTTCTCCTCTTCCCCGCTCGCTCTCAGCGTGACCAATATCAGCCCTGAGGAGGCATCGTGGTAATTCCCTGTAAATGACAGCTAATGAAGATGGTATTTCCCCTCATTACTTTGTGTCTTTGAGGGGGGGGGGCTCTCAGTCAATGCAAGCACGTGTCACCTTTATTTTTCTCTGTGCTCTCCACTCCTAACTGTTCCTCTCTCCTCAGCACCTTCTCCAGCGGTCAGGGATGAGCGCTCTCCTCTCACGGCTGTACCAAGCACACGCCCAATTAGCATCGCATGGTAGGTGAGAGCCATTTTGAAAACATTTCTCATTACACCTTATCACTGGGGCACAGAGCGGGGCGACATGAAGCAAATTAGAGGGGGTGAATGAGAAGACGGAGAGCGGGAAAAAGGAGGGAGGGCTGGAGACATCAAAGTGTTCCCGCTCTATTTAAATTGAGTGATCTTGTGTGAAAGATCCCCACTACATAAAGATTAACCCCATCCTCCCTCCCACACACACACGGCTAATATCACACACCCACATACCCTTGGATTTATGTGTCAAGGGTTAATAACTATGAGGATGAGGACACGGGGGGGGGGGGGGGGGGGGGGGGGGGGGGGGGGGGGGGGGGGGGGGGGGGGGGGGGGGGGGGGGGTCATGTGGGGTGTCCCTGCAAATGTGTGAGCGTGTACATGTGAGGATATTTGTCAGCAGAGTGGGAGAGAGGGTGCACGCAAGCAGGGAGGTAGAGATCACACAGCGAGTGCGAGAGAGGCTCAGTTTCATCTCAAAACGACGGACTGACATGTTACAAATCCCACCACTGAACAGACCTGCCAGAACTCCTCAGGAGGACACACACACACTCACACACACTCACACAGACAGAGAGAGTTGATCTGTTGCCTGTTTTCCACCAGTTTCATCATGTCCTTTAGCTAAATGCAAATTCTGGTCCTTTTCACTACACAGACTGTGAGAGTTGTGGCATCAGTGTGTGTGTGTGTGTGTGTGTGTGTGTGTGTGTGTGTGTGTGTAGGTATGTGTCTCTATCTGTCCCCGTTGTCTCCAGCGCATGAAAGAGTGTTTGCATCCTGCGTCTTCCCCAAGTTGTCTCTCCCTGTGTGTATGTGTGTGCTCAATCCCGCCCGGTGGATTAGTGACGTCGGCGGAACTCACCCTCTCCCTCTGATAAGGCCACGCGCCGCTGCCTCCCGCTCTCTGCTCCCCGCGCTCAATTTCAGATAGTGCTAATGGAATCTGTCCTGCACGATTGTAATGCGAGCGAGACTCATTTTCCACGGAGCTTGGAGCTGTCAGCTTGGCAGGACTGTTGGGGGGCTGTATGGGAGGAGGAGGAGGAGAGGGGAGGCAGTGAAGAGAGGGTTGATGGGAGGACGAGGAAGGAGAGGCTGACGAGGAGGTGTGTGTGTGGTTGTGTGTGTCTGACGTGTGTTATGGTGGGCCTCCTCCCTCTTGTCAGGGAGCTACAGAGGAGCTTCCCACACGTTGCCCATCATGGTGCGTACCTGCGTACACACAAACACACACACTTCCAGGTTGACACTACACAGCACAGGCTGAATTAACATTAGGTAAAGTGTAGATCCCCAAAAACGTGGTTCCTGATTTACTTTTCGTCTAGCCATGCAGATATTTTTGGTTTGAAGTGTCCAGGTTGGGAGATATCTAGTTTCACGCAGTGGACCGTTAAGTCGAGCTATGGCTATGGTTACAGTTACAGCTCGACTAGGTCATTTAACTGGACTACTGTCCTTGTCCCAGTATACGGCCCGTTTCCACTGAAGGAATGTCCTCTCGCTCGGCCCTCTCAACCGCCGTGTCTCCACTGAGAGAGCGGAGTAGGAGGAAGTTTCCTGTAAAGTTACGGGCTCTGGATGTGACATAATCATTGCGCGACCATTTTGACCGGGGCGACGTAGGGATGCCGTTAGCTGTTAGCCTTTAGCGGTGTCTGTAATAACTCACTAAGTGGCCCGTGAAAAAAAATTTTTTTCCAGTGGATGTCTTAGTTACAACATGATTGAGCTAACTGGAGTAGTTTCATGTCGTAGCCGACAACGGGAGGCTTTTAACAGATGACGTCCTGATGTTAGCTTTGTTGCTGCTGTTAGCTGATGCTTTCTAGACATCGTGATTTCCCAAAACTGAATAAATACCACACATAGCAACACAAAACTGCTTTGCTAGCTCAATCATGTTGTAACTAAGATTTCCGCCGGAAAAAATATTTTTTTTACGGGCCATTTAGTGAGGTTTTTTTACATGGTGGCGGAAGCTATATGAACGAGCTAACTCTCGTCTGCTGAGTTTAAAAAATGCCGGCTATTTTGTTGCTTTCTGTTGACGTCACATCCCTCCTTGAGTATAACCAATCAGCACCAAGTAATCCCCAAGCCCCAGCCAGGAGTCTTTCGGGGCCGTTCTGAGTACCTACCCCGAGGCAGGAACTTGTTTAGCCCCTGTAAAATTTCCAGAACTCTGTCCTTCGGGGGTGGTTCCTGCGGTGGAGACACGCACCAACGGCCCCAGCCCCGTAAAATTACCCCGAAGTTCCTGCAGTGGAAACGGGCCTATACAAGCACGGGAGAGGAATCCATTTATTGAGCCAAGTATGTCCAACTCCTCTACGATAGGTGGAGATATGCCGCCTTTCAGCTTGTTAGTATTGGACCTTTTTCCAGTCGACCGATTACGTCACAGACCAAACAATCAACAAACATGTTAGCTACGGTTAGCTAGCAGCTAACTGGTACCATGGTGGACAACTTTACAGCTCTGTACGTTTCATCGGTTCAGAAGTGCACAGCTCTGGATGTAGATTAATAAAGGATTCATTATTTCTCCACCAGGATTTCATCCCTGGCGGTGTGGTGGCAGCATTCAGGCCTCCATGTAGGGAATATTACAGAAAGTATAATATAACAGCGAACAAATACCAGCAACCCGATCGCCAGGAAAAAAATGTTGGCATTGTACACTTCTTCAACAGAAAAGTTAACATTGAGTTATTTGAAGTACCGTAAGATATGTTAATTACGTTTAGTGTGTAACTTTATGATGCCCAGCCATTTGACGAAACCTAACCTTACGGGAGATACGGACTAACACGTGGATTTATTTAAAAAAGTTTCTGAACAAGTTCAATACGCACAATGTTAAAAAGGACACAGTGCCACCTATCAAGGCGGAGTCAGACGTACTTGGTCAGACATTTGATTTTATCTTCTGCATATTTACTCAGACAAGACGTGAAGTCTGACTTGACTGATTAGCCGAGCTATGAGCTTTGCTCGACTACTGCGTGCGTGTAAACGTACTGAATGTGTAAATAGCCAATGTGGCTGTTTACACCTGGGCGTCCTAACAACATTGAAATATGACGTCAGCTCGAACAGGTCTATTCAGCTCACCTGCTAAAGTTTATGTACTCTGTGTGCATTCAGCAGCTTTAAACACTCTAAAAACAACAATAATAAATCAACCAAGTCTTAAAATAATAAGCTAACGTTGACTCCAACGGGACTTGAACACCAGTCACCTGGGTGAAAGTCCTGTGCTTGACCCACTCATCTACCATCTTACTTCCTCAATGGACTGTTTCTCTCTTTATACTGCATCACCTGACTTTGTGGCAGTACATTTGTGATTTTTTTCTCATGAAGTTACCACTTTAATTTCAGAGAATATCTGAGATTGGTTAGCACGAGCCCTAATCATGATTTCTTTTACCTAATCCTTACCACTACCGACGCATCAGGATCCATTGTACTGCGTCGTAGAAATAGGTGTAAATAGCCAAATAGCTGCAGTGTGATTATATCCAATAATGGCATATTGTCTGACAGCAATTTTATAAAACACGAACACATGAATTAAACAACAATCTTGATACAGATCCCTTAGATTTGTATTTTTATAAAAAACTATTCACAGTTGGAAAAGCGAGTTGTGCGTTCTCTCTGGTGGACAAACATTTCTGTGATGGTGACACAGTTTCTAAATGACCTCAAGCCTAGTCTGCCATTTCTCAGCTGCAGTTTCTTGTTACTTCCTGGTCAACATATACAGTGATAATGAGCTGGGTTAAGGCACTGTGTAGTTTATTGTAAAACAATCAGTTTGGTGCTTTTGTATCAGTTTACAGTGTACTGTTAGATGTAGTTTGGAGGACATTTCTTTTGGGATGCACTGCTCCTACAGACAAACAAAATCTTTTATCCTAATGTGTGCTTTTTGTCTCTGAATGTGTCTCTGAATGTGTGTGTGAATGTGTGTGATGAAGCAGTGGTGTTTCATTTAGTGGCCTGCAGGTGGCAGTGTTAACATGATGAACAGTGTCAGAGTGTAGCTGCTGACCACTGGACCACCTCTCCTCTCTGAACTTCCCTCTGCTCTCCACTTTGTTCCACTCATCGGATCATCTACTATATTTGTCTTTCTTATTAATCTTTGCTGTATTTACTGCTTCTGATTATTAGTTTACAGAGTAGCATCAGCTCTCATCACACGTCTTGAACGTGATGCATTTTTTCCTTTTGTAAACACCAACACAACAAATTCCTGAAACAAATTCTCGTAATGATTCTTGGTGTAAACTTGTAGAGGATATCAAAGAGGCATTCAGTCCTCCCCAGACACACACAGGGCCAGGGAGTTCAGTCAGATCGGGCCTCGCAAGTGATGCTCATTCTCTTCCTGTCCCAGTCTCGGCTCATTCAGTTCAGGGAAGGGAAGGAAATACCAATTTGGCAGCGCTACAGGGATTACAGCAGTAGTGGGCATTTTTAATCTGGGACAGACTGTGGCATTTGTCTGCACTTAAAACTGTCATCAGTCCTGCCCCATCTATCGGCCCGTCACCCCGTCCCATCCTGTTAAGAAAAAAAACATGAAACACTGCTGGAGCTGATTAGACTCTTCAAAATAAATAAATAAAATAAACAGCAACCTAAATCTCACAGCCAGGGCTTTACGCAGCCAGAGCCCCCATTACTGGTGCTCTACCCCCTGGGAAGAGTTTAGTGTCAACAGATCCTCCTTCTGCAGGGGTGGAGGAGGGTCTCCATCATCAGCAGCCCAGCTGTCAGAGGGAAATGTTGGTATTGTGCATTTCTGCAAACTACAGATTTGTTACATTTGTATGTTTCATACGTGTCATATCAGTGTTTCTAAAGAATGGTAGATGGTGTAGACCAGTCTTCAAGACCAACAAACAACAGCACTGGTTGTTTTTTAGCAACACATTGACGGCGATTCCTGCAGCAAT